TTATAGAGACCAAGATGGCGGCATAGGTAAACATCGGAGACTGCTGCCGCAAACAACCACTTCAAAAATACAACTAAAAGACGGAACGGACATCACCCAGAACCACAGGAAGGCTGGCTGAGGAGAGACTCTTCAACTAGAAGGAAAAATAACAGCACACCGAGGCTCAGAGGAGGCGCAGTGTGGAAAATACTCAGGTGCGGAGGTGCGCGCGCAAAGCGGGCTGGTGGCTGAGAGCGCGGTTGTCGTTTTCGGTCAGGGGGGAGTCTCAGACTCTGAGCTCCAGATACGGGCGAATCGCTGGGGACTCGGACCCAAACGGGAGAAGCGGGAGTGTCTGGCATCAGTTGGAAGGCAGCTTTCTCTCCGAGGTTTGCAGCGGTTCCTGGGGTTCTGAGAAGCAGAGCCTCTGGGAACGGGACTGAGAGGGGCCATAACCGCTCCCTCCGCCCGCCCTGTTGAGCCCGCCCCGCCCAAGCCCTGCGCAGAGCCATTTGCCAGATCGCCTCAGGCAAAGGCTAGATTAGCACCTCCCCAGAGGACAGAAGTTTTCCGCGGCAGACACAGCTGATTCACACAGCCAGTCGGCCTGGTGGTCAAATCCCTCTAGTATTAACTACAACAATCAAGGCTCAACTAGAACAAGACTGCGCACAAAGACCACTAGGGGGTGCACCAAGAAAGCATAAAAAATGCGGAGACAAAAAAACATGACAGAAATGGAGGATATAGAGCTAAAAATCGCAATTTTGAGGGCTTGCAAAAATGTGCTAGAAGCTGTCAATAAACTTGAGGAGAGAGTCACGAAAACTAATGAGACCCTCGATGCTATGATAAAGAACCAACTAGAAATTAAGCATACACGGACTGAAATAAAGAATATTATACAGACACCCAATAGCAGACCAGAGGAGCGCAAGAATCAAGTCAAAGATTTGAAATGCGAAGAAGCAAAAAACACCCAACCGGAAAAGCAAAATGAAAAAAGAATCCGAAAATACGAAGATAGTGTAAGGAGCCTCTGGGACAGCTTCAAGCGTACCAACATCCGAATTATAGGGGTGCCAGAAGAAGAGAGAGAGCAAGATATTGAAAACCTATTTGAAGAAATAATGACAGAAAACTTCCCCTACCTGGTGAAAGAAATAGACTTACAAGTCCAGGAAGCGCAGAGAACCCCAAACAAAAGGAATCCAAAGAGGACCACACCAAGACACATCATAATTAAAATGCCAAGAGCAAAAGACAAAGAGAGAATCTTAAAAGCAGCAAGAGAAAGAGACTCAATTACCTACAAGGGAATACCCATACGACTGTCAGCTGATTTCTCAACAGAAACTTTGCAGGCCAGAAGGGAATGGCAAGAAATATTCAAAGTGATGAATAGCAAGAACCTACAACCAAGATTACTTTATCCAGCAAAGCTATCATTCAGAATTGAAGGTCAGATAAAGAGCTTCACAGATAAGGAAAAGCTAAAGGAGTTCATCACCACTAAACCAGTATTATATGAAATGCTGAAAGGTATCCTTTAAGAGGAGGAAGAAGAAAAAGGTAAAGATACAAATTGTGAACAACAAACATGCATCTATCAACAAGTGAATCTAAGAATCAAGTGAATAAATAATCTGATTTACAGAATGAACTGGTGATTATAATGAATCAGGGACATAGAAAGGGAATGGACTGACTATTCTTGGCGGGGAAAGGGGAATGGGAGATGCGGGAAGAGACTGGACAAAAATCGTGCACCTATGGATGAGGACAGTGGGTGGGGAGTGAGGGCGGAGGGTGGGGCGGGAACTGGGAGGAGGGGAGTTATGGGGGGGAAAAATGAGGAACAAATGTAATCTGAACAATAAAGATTTAATTTAAAAAAAAAAAGACTCGGAAGAAGACTTGTTTGTGATTTTGCTAACAGGTCAGTCCGAGGCTTAACCCTATATCAGCTCCCCACAGGAAAGCCCCAACCTGTTGGAGGAAAACTGGACACCAAAAGTCCCTCCTTGGGTCTTGCGACTCCCACTTAATACCCCAACCTGTTTATACAGCAGCTATAGGGAGCTTCCAACATGCCTTATCTGTTCTTGCCTCGCCCAGCTAACCCCTTCCCTGGAATATAGAGTAAAATCCCACTTCTGCAAACCTACCCTTCAAGAACAAAACACTGTGCAAAGTGATGTATGGCAACAACAGCAAGATGGGAACCCGTGTCCATCAGCAGGGACCTGGTTAATAAACCACGGTCCAGCCCTTAACAAAGGGCAAGCACCCACCGCTCCCACATACCTTCCCCACCATTCAAAATCCAGACACTCTCAAAATCAAAGGCTTTTTCTTATGTTTTTGATATACTCTGGTAGCAAAACCCAAGATGGTTATAATCCTTTCAAAAATCCAATGTAGTATAAGGATTCATAAAGTGTTAATCCAATAAAATTGAAGTGTATACCCTATGGTCTAGTAATTGCACTTCTGGATATATGCTCACAAGAATTAAAAGCAGGGTCTTGAAGAGATAGTTGGGCAGCCATATTCATAGCATTATTCACAAGAGCTAAAAGGTGAAAGCAGCCCAAGTGTCCATCGACAGATGAACAGATAAACAAAATGTGATACAGACATACAATGGAATATTATAAAGCCTTGGAAAGGAAATTCCGACACATCCCACAACAACATGGATGAACCTTGAGGATATTATGCTAAGTGAAATAAGCCAGTCACAAAAAGACAAATACTGTATGAGTTTACTATATGCGATCTCTAGAGTAGTCAAATTCTCAGAGTAGTGCCAGAGGTAGGGAGAGAGAAGAATGTGGAGTTATTGTTTAATAGGGACAGAGTCTTGGTTTTCCAAGATGAAAGGAATTCTGGAGCCCTAGCTGGTTTGGCTCAGTGGCTAAGAGTGTCGGCCTGCGGACTGAAGGGTCCCAAGTTCAATTCCGGTCAAGGGCACATGCCCAGGTTGCAGGCTCAATCCCCAGTGTGGGGTGTACAGGAGGCAGCTGATCAGTGATTCTCTCTCATTATTGATGTTTCTATCTCTCTCTCCCTCTCCCTTCCTCTCTGAAATCAATAAAATTATTTTTTTTAAAAAGAAGGAAAAGAATTCTGGAGTTGGATGGTGTGGATGTTTGCACAACAATGTGAAGGTACTTAACGCCATAGAACTGGACACTTTAAGATGGGAGTTCCAGCCTCGTGGAGGCTGGGTGAAGCAAGGAACAGGCAGCTGTGTGTTCACTGCAGCCACCTCCCATGGCCGCCTGGGCGCTGGCCCCGGGCCTGCACCCACCTATTGTGGAACTGGCTTACAGGACTAGTGTGACACTAACGCACAGGCATCATGGGCGCATGTGGATGAGATGAGGGGCTACACTGAGAAGCTCATCGACGGTGGGATGCTGGGAGACACCAACGAACAAGCCATGCCTTTCTCTCGCTCACAGAGAAAGACTTGATCCCGAAGTTGTTTCAAGTACTGGCCCCTCAGTACCAAGGTCAGAAAAGACTACAGAGAATGCTGCCGATTCCAAATGGGAACAAGCAGGATCAGGCCGAGATGGCAGTGATCGGGTAGAAAGGGAATTGTCTCCCACCCCTGCCCCTGCCTTGCAGAGACAGCAGCCTTATTCTCCTAAACCAGCTACTTCAAGGGCTGTGACCGGACCAAGAAGCAAGCGTCCACAGCTCCCACAGACCTCAAACACCAGGGATTTAACTGGAGCCAAATGTTTTGTAGTCCTCATCGGTGCCCATGATCACAGGCCTTTGAATCCCTTAATCTCTAAAAACTAGAGCTAGAAATAGAGTTTACATGGAGCCTAGAACCCTCTGGGGAGCCAGATAACCCTCTCTTTGCACAATAGATAAAATTCCTTGTATGAAAAGAAATAGTAGTAATTTGTTTTAATTAAAAAAAAAATTGAAGTGTAACTCCACAGGGTACTGCCCCAGACCCCACTGAGATGCTGTGTGTGCAATAAGTGGGGCTTGCTGGCCCTGGCCTGGTAGCTCCGTTGGTTAGAGTATCATCCCCTGACGCCAAGGTTTTGGGTTCCATCCCCAGTCAGGGCACATACAAGAATGAACCAATGAATGCAGCAATGAGTAGGACAACAAATCATTATTTCTCTCTCTCTCCCTTCCTCTCTCTCTAAAAAAAAAATCAATCAGTAAATAAAATACATGGGGCTTCTTATCTTTCTAAAATGTGAAAATTCTTGGCCCCAAGAATTTCAGATTAGGGACTCTTGACTTCTATATTATATGTTAGAAAAGCTCAAGTCTCAGGTATTATTATAGTAAAAAGCACAGTATACTACACTAGCCAAAGATGGGCAACTTGACAATCAATAAAGATTGATCCAATTGCAATGGATTGAGATACATCAAATACATTTAAACCCATGAGTTCATGGTGATGCTAAAAATCTAAACATTGATTTGCCCCTACTAGAGGAGGCTAAGTAATCAACCGATAAAAACTGGTAAATAAGGAAAAAGAATGAATCCCAAGTTTCCTACATCAACTGAACTACTTGGTCTCCCAGGAATAGATTAGAGATGGTTCTCTTTACACAAGTAATCTGGATAGTAAATTAGAATGAATGACAGAATTAGAACATCACCATTTTGCAACTCCTAATGACGTAATAGACCAGCCGTGGGCAAACTACGGCCCGCGGGCCGGATCCGGCCTGTTTGAAATGAATAAAACTAAAAGACCGTACCCTTTTATGTAATGATGTTTACTTTGAATTTATATTAGTTCACACAAACACTCCATCCATGCTTTTGTTCCGGCCCTCCGGTCTGGTTTAAGAACCCATTGTGGCCCTCGAGTCAAAAAGTTTGCCCACCCCTGTAATAGACCCAAGCAAGAAGTACAGATGGTTCATGGGAGAGAAGGGAAGACATCAGGCACCCCGTAACAGAAATACACATGGTGAAGCTGTCTTGCTAAAAGGAACAATTTGAATTGTTCAAATCTCTAGATCCAAGTACCAACCTACAGAAAATGTAGGTGACAGAAAAAAACTGTTACTCAACACCACAGGGAAGTGACCAGGGCAACACCACAAGGCAAAGAAACCAGTTTCCTGCCCTAGCCGGTTTGGCTCAGTGGATAGAGCATCAGCCTTTGGACTGAAGGGTCCTGGATTCGATTCCAGTCAAGGGCACATGCCCAGGTTGTGGGCTAGAAACCCAATGTGGGGCGTGCAGGAGGCAGCCGATCAATGATCCTCTCTCATCACTGATGTTTCTATCTCTCTCTCCCTCTCCCTTCCTCTCGGAAATCAGTAAAAAAATTTTTTTAAAAAGAGGATAATGCCCTGACCAGTTTGGCTCAGTGGATAGAGCATCAGCCTGCGGGCTCAGGGGTCCCGGGTTCGATTCCAGTCATGTACCTTGGTTGCGGGCACATCCCCATGTAGGGGGTGTGCAGGAGGCAGTTGATCGATGCTTCTCTCTCATCGATGTTTCTCTCTATCCCTCTCCCTTCCTCTCTGTCAAAAATCAATAAAATATATTTTAAAAAAAAAGATAAGAGAATATTATGATTAACTTTATGCCAAGAAAGTTGAAATAAAGTTCAAGAAATGGCCAAATTCCTTGAAAAATCCAACTTACCAAATCTGATCCAAGACAAAACACAAAATCTGAATAGCCCTAGCAACATGGTAAATTGAATTCACTGTCAAAAACCCACAAAAACAAACAGACAAAAAAAACCCCTCCAAGCTCAGGAGGCTTTACAGAATTTTATTAAATATTTAACATAATGGCCATGACATGATGATTGTTGAAACTGGGTGACAGTTGGATGGTGTTGTATCTGATTTGGCATATACTTAAAAGTTTGCATAATTTCCTTTTTAAATGCAAGAGCCCTAGCCGCTCAGTTGGATAGAGTGTTGCCTAGATACACCTAGGTGGCAGGTTCCATCCTGGTTAGGACACACATAAGAATCAACCAGTGAATGCATAAAGAAGTAGAACAACAAATTGATATGGTTTTCACTCTCTCTCTCTCTCTCTAATCAATAAATGAAATTTTAAAATAAAATACATTTTTTTAAAAATGTTAATGTTTTCTTTTTTTGTTGTTGTTAATCCTCATCTGAGGATATTTTTCCATTGATTTTTAGGAAGAGTGGAAGAGAGAGGGAAAGACAGAGAGAAACATTGATGTGATAGACCACATAGATTGGTTGCCTCCTGCATGAGCCCTGATCAGGGCCCGAGCTGGGGAGGAGCCTGCAACCAAGATGCATGCCCTTGACCAGAATTGAACCTGGGACCCTTCAGTCCATAGGCTGACACTCTATCCATTGAACCGAACCAGCTAGGGCTGTATATTTTTGTTTGTTTGTTTTTTGGATTTCAAAGAGAGAAAGGGAGAGGGAGAGAGACAGACAGAAACATCAATGATGAGAGAGAATCATTGACTGGCTGCCTCCGGCACACCCCCTACTGGGGATAGAGCCTGCAACACAAGCATGTGCCCTTGACTGGAATTGAATCTGGAACCTTCCAGTCCGCAGTCCAATGCTCTATCCACTGAGCCAAACCTGCTAGGGCCAAAATGTATTCTTGTTCAATTTTTTTTTCTTTAAAGAACAAATCAAAACTCAGGAGGCCCTGCAGGACCTGCTCAAGTCACCTCCCTGTCCCCACCTCCCACTCTCCCTTCCATGCTCCAGCCAGACACATCTCCTTACAGTTCTTCCAACATGCCAACTTTAGTCCTGCCTCAGGTCCTTTGCACTGGTTGCATCCTTTGGACATCTAGTTTATTTCTTCTCATCCACAGGTTTTAGACCTAGGGCAGCCCTCCTTGAGCCCACAGACTGAGGCCATGTACTTGGCCTCCATGGTCACAGTCCCCAATTTATATTTACACTAGAGGCCCGGTGCACGGATTCATGCACATTGAAAGGAAATTAATTAGAAGGTGGCTGGTGGGGCGGGACTGGGTGAGACGGGCAGGACACAACCTGGAACCAACCTCCCGCGGCCCCTCCCCGCCGGTCAGCGCCAGGGCTCAAAGGATGTCTGTGGAGTGAGCGGGGTCCCTTCAGCAGGTGGGGTCCCTCCGGCAGGTAGGGTCCCTTGGCCTGGCCTGCAGGGATCAGGTCAGAACCAGCAGTCGTACATCCCCCAAGGGGTCCCAGAGTGCAAGAGGACACCCTGCAAAGTTGCTGTCGCTCGGCAGCTCTTGCGTTGAGAATCTGCCCCATGGTGGTCAGTGGGTGTCATAGCTACTGGTCAGAGCCTCTGCCCCCTGGTGGTCATTGCACGTCATAGCTACAGGTCCAACAGGTGAGCTTAAGCTTTTATATATACAGTGGGGCCTTGACTTACGAGTTTAATTCATTCCATGACGGAGCTCGTAACTCAAATTACTCGTATGTCAAATCATAAAGTGAACGAGTGAGACACGTGATGCTGGGCTGATGTTGTGGCGTTCACTGTGACGTTCGCTGCGCCAACTAGCGGTGGGGTATCTGAAGCTGGCTCGTAACCTGAATTTTAGCTCGCAACTCAAAGCAAAAAATCGGCCGAGAGACGGCTCGTATCTCGAAAAACTCGTTAGTCGGGACACTCGTAAGTCAAGGCCCCACTGTATACAGATACCTGCCTTTAAGAAAATTTTAAATAACTCATTTGAAAAAAATACATACACATGGTTCCAAACGTTCAAAGTACTCCAAAATTTTAAAAAGTAAAACAGAGCCCTGGCTCAGTTGGCTCGAGTGTCCTCCTGTACACCAAAAGCTTGGGGGTTTGATCCCCAAGGGGGGCACTTCAGAGGGGTAACCCCTCAATGTTTCTCTCAAATAGATGTTTCTCTCTCTCTACCTTCCTCTCTAAAAATCAATAAAAACAAATCCTCAGGTAAGGATTTAAGGGGAAAGATATGTGTTTTGTTTTTTTATACAACACATTCCACCTGCAGTTTTTTCCCCCTGATTATGACCTTCTCACTAACGCCTGTCTCCCTGTTGACTAAGTTCCATGGGTGAGGTAACACCAGCCCTGTCACTATGGTAGGAGCTGAAGGACCTGTGTACCTGGAGGGACCTGACAGCGCCATTTGGTTGGAAGATGGGAAGGTCCGCACCCCTGTTTCCGTAGAACTCTACACGATGGAGAAATGCGCATTGTCCTCACCAAGGAATGGGGGATACTGACGTAGACGGTGGGGGCCTAAAGCCTCCCCAACCCTCTGTTGTTGCCCCCATGATTTCAACACATCTTTGCGCAATTAATTTACATTTAAGAGTAATAACAGCAATAAGAGCAATAAAAGAAGCTACATGGCAGGCGCTGTGCAGAGAGATTTACCGACACCCCATCGTGAATCTTGTGAACGATCAGCAGTGGAGTTGGCCCAACTGCAGCTCAGGGAAGCCACACAACCTACAGGGACCGCCCGCCTCGCCTCTACCCTGCAAAGGCGGGGGCGGGGCCGCTCCCGCGATCGGCTCACCCAGCGCGTTCTGGATCTCCACGGACCTCTCCGGGCTCAGGAGGGTCTCGTCGCCGTCGTAGGGGGAGCGGAAGCGGACGCCCTCCTCCGTCACCTCGGACAGGGACACCAGGGACACCATCTGGAAGCCGCCGCTGTCCTGGGGACACCCGCCGCGGGGCAGTCAGTCGGGAGAGGTGCAGGGCGAGATCCGCCTCCAAGGAGCGTCCTCGCACCCCCCGCCTCGCCCCCGCCTCACCGTTAGCAGATTGTGGGGCCAGTTCATGAAGCCGTGCAGACCTTGGGCTTTCTGGATCAGCTCCGGGCCCTGGGTTGGGGGTGCGGGGCGAAGAGTCAGGTAAGGGGTGAGCGCCACGCTGGGAGCTCA